TGTGTGTGTGTGTGTGTGTCTGTGTGTGTGTGTGTGTGTGTGTGTGTGTGTGTGTGTGTGTCTGCACGTGTGTGTGTATGTGTGTGTGTGTATGTGTATGTGTGTATGTGTATGTGTGTTTGTACTTGTACTTGTACTTGTGCTTGTACTTGTACTTGTACTTGTGTGTGTGTCACAGCTGGTTCCATCCCTCCTTTCTTCTTGTGTAAATCCTATGCATCAGCTGTGCTTGTATTCAGCCTCGTTTATCCCTCCTCAGGGTGTCTTGACCCCTCCCCTTTCCCTTGATGCACTCCATTCATTCATAATGGCTCTGCAGTTTTCCACAACTAGGTAGCTCACCGCGTCTTGGTCTACGTTTTGTCATTTCGACAATTATCGTTCGTTCTCCACTACATCTCCCCTCCCCCTCCCTCTCCCTCTCACTCGACCCATACTCAAATACATTTATCACAATACAGTAAGTAGTCAAGTGCACAACAGTTTATGTGTTCTCTCCTTCCTCCTCAACCAAACCCCCACGATACCTAGAGCAACAGCAGCAGCAAGCGTTACAGCGACGTGAAACAAGAAGCTACAACAGTGGCATAAGGGCATCACGCAGACAACAACGTCCACAAACACTCGGGACATGTGAACAGAGCACACAACCAAGTGTGCTGTGCCGGTGCGTCTCAGTTAGACAGCGTTGTCTTTGCAATGCGTGCCAGCACATCCAATGCCTGGTCAAGGTGCTCCTGTGTGTGCTTCGCCGACACGGCCTGCAGCATGGCAACCCCGACATGGTGGAATGAGAAACACGCATGTCGTGAAGGCAAAGGTGTGTGTGTGTGTGTGTGTCTGTCTGTCTGTCTGTCTGTCTGTCTGTGTTTGACAGCGACAGGGCAGGCAAGCGTGCACTGCGCCACACAACAGCACACCACACGACTTGCATACAACACAACGACCCCAGCCCACGGCACAAACATGGCACGGCACAAGCAAGCAAAGGCGTGCGATCTGATGTGATGTGATGTGATGTGTGTGTGTGTGTGTCGCAGCGCACCAAGCGGATGGATGGGCGGCGCGGGAACTTCTCCTCTGTGACAATGTAGTTTGCGCGAACAAACGCAACGCCCTCTGCCAGAGCCTGATTGCCCGTTGAAACACGGCACATACGCACGGCGTGATGTGAGTGCATGCAACAGCACAGCCACAGGCATTGTCCACCCACAGATCACAACATAAAACCAAGCAAACGAGTTCGCCAACTGAAAGCAACAAACAAAACAACAAACAACAAACAACAAACAAAGCAAAAGCACGAGTGCGGGCCACATTACCTTGTTGCACATGTCCTCAAGAACGTGGTCCTCCTGGTTGTGTGTGGAAATGCTGTTGCGCTTTGCAGCAGCGGGCGAAATGTGCACGTGGACAACAGCAGAGCCTGGCGCCCCAGACCACTCAAACTCTTCAATCTGCAAAAGCGCACATACACAGAGGAGGAGGGGGGTAGCGGGAAGGGGGAAGGAGGAGAAAACGAGGCGGACGAATGGGCGCAAGACGGTACACCGCGTGAGATGAGGTGTAAACAAAGGCGTATTGTGCGTTGATAAAACACAGACGCCACATTCAGCAAAGACGAGATGCTGGCGTTTGTCGTGCAGTCCTTCGCAAACACACGCGCAAACACGCGCGCAAAGACAAGCACGCACACACACACACACACTCTCTCTCTCTCTCTCTCACACACACACTCTCTCTCTCCATCCCCGGCCTGTTCCTCTCCTCCCCTCGCACCCACCTGTTGGACACGCTTCTGGACATGCGCGATGTTAGCGCGGAGGGAGCGGAGGAGGTCCTTGCCCTCGCCCGAGTCGAGCACGTTGAGGTTTGAGATGGCGGCGTTGGCAAGCAGCGGTGGCAGCGACGCGGAGAAGCAGTAGCCCTGGCCCGAAAGGCGCTGGTGGTCGACAACAAAGCTGCGCCCGCAGCAGAAGCCCCCAATGGAGCCCAGTGACATGCCCAACGACACGCACACCATGTCAACATCCTCCATCTGCCCCCGAGGAGGAGGGGAGGAGAGGAGAGCAGGTGGATGTGGTGCGATGTGATGTAATGTAATGAAGTGTGTGTATGTGAGTGTGTGAGTGTGTGAGTGCGTGTGTGCGTGTGTGTGCGTGTGTGTGTGTGTGTGTGTGTGTTTGTGTGTGTGTGTGTGTGTGTGTGTGTGTGTGTGTGAATGAGATGCCAGGTGTGAGATGAAGCACGAGGAGAATGAGGAGCACAGACGTGCACACCAGCCGACGATGACGACAACAACAACAACAACAACAACAACAACAACAACAACCAATGAAGCTGAGGTAAACATAAAGAAGCAGACCAAGCTCACGCGCCCCAGCAAGACATGCCACACACACAAGGACAGCCCAGACGAGAAAAGCGAGCGCACCTTGACGTTGAAGTGTTCTGTGACGCCCTTGCCCGAGGCGCCGAGAACACCAAAGGACATTGACTCCTCAACCACAAGCCGCACTTTGTACTGATACTTGAGCTTCACCTGCGGTGCACAAGACAGGCGCATTGTGCGCAGGTGTGTGTGTGTGCGTGTGTGTGCGTGTGAGTTCAACAAGCACGGGTGAACTGGGAACAGATGGAACAGAAGAGGCTTGCCTGTATGTGCTCACCTCAACCAACGCCCCAACCACCTACCCACTCACTCGCTCACGAGTATTACATGGCAGCTTCGTCAGCGCAGCAATTGTGGGTGCAGGCAACTCACAAGTTCGTCGAGTGGGCAGATCTGACCCGTGTTGGCGTAGATGCCCTCCACAACAATGAACCGCCGCGTCGCCATCGCCTTGTTGCGGTCCTGTCCATACACGCCGTCAAATGGTGGTGGTGGTGGTGGTGGTGGCGGCGGCGATCATGGTGGTAGTAGTGGTGAGACGCGGTCATGGTGGTGGTGGTGGTGCTCAGCAGAATGTAGCTGCGCAAGATGGCACGAGCACATGATGAAACTGGAAGGGCGCGCCACAAGAGCACAGAACTCGCCCCACCGCCAACAGGACCCTCCCCCTCAAACAACGCCCTGATCACCTTGCGGTCAATGACGGCCTGCTCCTCCAACTTGGCCTTGAGATCCTTCATGTCGTTGTGCTTGAAGAACACCACTTTGCTGCGCGACGCCTCCAGGCCCTTCTGGATCGGAAAGCACGCAGCATCGTCGCTGCGTGTGTGTGTGTGTGTGTGTGTGTGTGTGTGTGTGTGTGTGTGTGTGTGTGTGTGTGTGTGTGGAAAAGAGAAAGGGGGTGAAGAACAGGTGATCATTAACAATCAGTGATCTTCGTCCGTCATCACTACAATACAACCCGCCAGCCGTCAAGG